TTAAAGAGGACAAAACTGAGGCCCAGAGTCTTGCTCCAGGCCACACAATAGGAGCAGGGGCCCTCCCCTCACTCAACCAAGTGACCAGTGTTCCTAGGGTTTGGGAGGTGGGGGCAGCAGCAGCTAGGGGAAGATAGAGCCTGGAAAAAATGGGCTGAGTTCATGAGGGTTCTGGACCTAGAGGGGTGGGGGAAACTGAGACAAGCCATTGTCCTTACCCTAGGTCTTGCTCCCCACTTCTATCTCACCCGCATTCCAGGTATGTGGCACAAAACAGAGTACATGGGCTCCAGAGTCTGGTAGAGCACAGTACAAATCCTGTTCCATCCCTTTCCAGCTGGTTGTCTCTGGGCAAGTCACTTCTGAGCTTCAGCTTCCTGATCTGTAAAGTGGAGTTGTAATACTTACAGAGCACGTGTGACTGTTAGGTAAAGTGAAAGTCCTCTTGGGCCGTAGCCTGTTTCTGGCCCATTCACTGCTGTTTCCCCAGCATTTAGCACTTTGCTGGGCACATGGTAGTGCTCATTAAATATTTGGTGGGTGAATTTAATGAATAGTAGCAAATCCTTAAGCCTTGGAGGTAGAGAAGGAGTGACCCAGACCATCATCAGTAACCCCTTGATGTTTTTACAAACCCCAGGTACCCCAGAGCTCAGTGTGGTTCCAACAGTGTAGAGTCACACAATCTCCTCATCCAAGGCCTAAGCCTGGAAGACTCAGGGCTTCCTATGTGGTCCCTCCATGGGTACAGGCTTGTCCACGGAGCTGGCAGCTGGCCACTTTGCCCCCTTCCTCCCAAGTAATAGATGGGATGAGGTAGTGGGTAAGAATCTGGGCCAGGCTGCTTGGGGACAAATAGATGTGCGGCTTGAACAACTTACTTAACCTATCTGGGCCTCTTGATGTATAGTAATAATAATTACAACAACAACAATAATACCTGCAGATAAGGTTGTGAGAATTGGTTTAATACATTCACAGCACATAGAACAATGTAAGTTGTCAGTAATTAACTCATTCACTAGAATGCAGACTCCTGAGATTAGGGAATTTTGTCTGTTTTACCACTGTGTCCACCAAATTTAGAACAGTTTCTGGCATTCAGTAGGCCCTCACTAAATATTTGTTAATTGAGTGAATGAATGAGTCCATACTCACCCCACATTGCTCAAACCAAGGCAAAGGTTTTTAACCACTAGCCTGTCTGGATCTTGAGGGACTTCCAGGTATTACAATTTCTGTGTGCACACCTTTGGAGAGGGTGTTTCACCCTCCTTCCCTGAGCCTGCTGCTACCCCCACTCTGGTAAGCCTAGAGCCTAAGTCATTTTTCTTCCTACCCAATGGTCCTGGTTCTACTCTGAGGTCACACAGAATGTGTCAGTCCCCTCAAGCACTTACTGTACCCAACCCTGTTCTGACACTTAGGCAGAAGGGAGTCAGACATCTCCCCCTTGCGGTCATATAGGCTTATCTTCAAACAGTGGGTTCAAGGCTGACCCAGCCAACAGAGTCCAGCAAGAAGCTGTGAGGAGAGGGGTTCCCGTCTGACTTGGGGAGCTGGAGGGGCCTTGGAGAAGGAGTGCTGAATGGGGCCAGGGGAGTGAATTCTATAATTGCAGGAATAAAGAATTCCTGTATCCTCTTACCAGTCGCCATGGCTAACATTCCTTCCTTCCCTCCCTTTCTCTCTTGAGACACATGCACCTTCTGATTTTCGTGGGAAACTTTTTTTTTTAATTTTTTTTGAAAGATTTTATTTATTTGACAGAGAGAGACATAGTAAGAGAGGGAACACAAGCAGGGGGATAGGGAGAGGGAGAAGCAGGCCTCCTGGGGAGCAGGGAGCCCGATGTGGGGCTCGATCCCAAGACCGTGGGATCATGACCTGAGCCGAAGGCAGACGCTTAACGACTGAGCCACCCAGGTGCCCCTCGTGGGAAACTTTTGAGATTAGCTTGCTGATATCCTGCTCCAGTATATACTTCCTGAGAATTAGAACATTGTCTTATATAACCGTAGTAATCAAATTCAGGAAATTTAACATTGGCATATTCCTATTAAATAATATACAGTCTACTGTAAAATTTCATCACTTATCCACATTATCCAGTTTCCTATTTTTCCTCTTGATCCAGGATCCAATCAAGGACCACACATTGCATTTAGTTGTCATTCCCTTAAGTTGGACTTACCTGATGTCTCCTCATGATTATGTTTAGGTTATGCATTTTGGGCAGTAATACTTCTTTTTTTTTTTTTTAAGATTTTATTTATTTATTTGACACAGAGAGAGAGACAGAGAGAGAGCACAAGTAGGCAGAGTGACAGGCAGATGGAGAGGGAGAAACAGGCTCTCCACTGAGCAGGGAGCCCGATGTGGGACTCGATCCCGGGACTCCAGGATCATGACCTGAGCCGAGAGCAGCCACTTAACAGACCGAGCCACCCAAGCGCCCTGGGCAGTAATACTTCTTAAGTGATGTAGTATCCTTCTTAGTGCAGAATATCAGGAGGCACATGATTTCAGTTCATCCCATTATTGATGATGTTAACTTCGATCATTTGGTTACAGTGCAATCTGCCAGGTTTCTCCAGATTTTTTAAGTTCTCCCTGGCTGCAGCAAGTAGAAGGGAATGGAGGTGGCCAGAATGGGAGCCTTGACAGTACCTGGGTGAGAGATGATCATGGCCCTGGGTTTTTTTTTGTTTTGTTTTTAAGATTTTATTTATTTATTTTGACAGAGAGAGAGACAGCGAGAGAGGGAACACAAGCAGGGGGAGTGGGAGAGGGAGAAGCAGGCCTCCTGCTGAGCAGGGAGCCCGGTGCGGGGCTCGATCCCAAGACCCAGGGATCATGACCTGAGCTGAAGGCAGACGCTTAACGACTGAGCCACCCAGGCACCCCGATCATGGCCCTGTTTAAAGAGGTGGTACTTATTTGTTCAAAGCACATTGTCTGTTAGAGCCAGAACTGGGGCTAGAACACAGATATTGTCTTTTTTTTTTTTTTTAAGATGTTATTTATTTATTTGAGAGAGAGAATGGGATAGAGACAGAGAGAGCATGAGGGGGGGAGCGTCAGAGGGAGAAGCAGACTTCCTGCTGAGCAGGGAGCCTGATGCGGGACTCGATCCCGGGACTCCAGGATCATGACCTGAGCTGAAGGCAGTCGCTTAACCAACTGAGCCACTCAGGCGCCCCTAGAACACAGATATTCTGATGCCCACTCCCAGGCTCCTCACACATCACTAGTTCTAGGACCCCCAATGCCATTAAATCAGGGAAAAAAAGATAAGGGATCAGCGTTGCAGAAAATCCAGGTTGTTGTGTGGCAAACCCCTGCATGGGATCGAGGACCTTCCACACATATCACTATGTAATGTTCCCTGACTCCCTCAGGCATAGTTATTCACTCCCATAATGCCTCCTAAATCCTACACATTCCAACTTAGGAGCTTTTAAGCATCTGTTTTTCCTACAAAACCATGAGTGAATCACAAGAACAGGGTCTCTAGTTTATTCATCTTTAGTTTTACGGCGCCTCACATGGGGCCGGGCTCAGTGATTATGGGATAAAGGAAGTCTTCACTCTGAGCCTGCTAGCAACCAAGTCAGGAAGGGAAAGAAGGTACATTTTGTGCCTTGGCTTTCTTGTCTAATCAAAGGAAGCAAAAGAGTGCTTGGTTTTAAATATTGCTAGGAGAGCAAATCTGAGCCGGTCTGAAACACTGACAGGGGAACTGTCACATTCCCATGACTGATTTGAAGGAAGAGGGGAAGGGAAGGTAGTAATGGTCGGGTTCTGTAGCAAGTCACATGGAAAGACATGTGTTGAGAGCCTCAGAGACTCTGTTGGGTAGGATTACCAACAGAGGGAATAAACTGGGGGAGACCATTCCCCAGAAAGTGAGATCTCGGGAGATTTTTCTTTCCATGTGGTAAAATATACATTACATAAAATTTACCATTTTAAGTTTTTTGTTACCGTTTTAATTCTACAGTTCTGTGGCATTGAACACATTCACACTGTTGTGTGTTGTGTAATCATCACTACCATCCATCTCCAGAACTTTTTCATCTTCCTAAAGTGGAACTCTACCCATTAAACACTAACTTCCCATTTCCCCCTGCCTCCAGCCCCTGGCAACCACCATTTTACTTTCTGTCCTAAGAATTTGACTATTCTAGATATTTCGTATAAGTGGGACCATACAATACGTGTACTTTGTGTCAGGTTTATTTCACTTAGTATAATGTCTCAAAGCTCATCTATGTTGTGGCACATATCAGAATCTTATTCCTTTTTAGGGCTGACTAATATTCTGTTGTATGTGTACGTCATGTTTTGTTTATTCATTCATCTGTCCGTGGACATTTAGGTTGTTTCCACCTTTTGCCTGTTGCAAATAATGCTGCTGTGTGGACACTGGCATACAAATGTCTGTTTCAGCCCCTGCTTTCCAGCCTTTTGGGGGGTATATACCCAGAATTGGGATTGTGGGGTCACATGGCCGTCCTGTGTCTAATTTTTGGAGGCACTGCCGTGCTATCTGCCACAGTGGCTGCACCGTTCTCCAAGGGCTCCTCCGTCTCCACGTCTCCAGGGCCTGTCATTTTCTGCTTTTTCAATAGTAGCCATCCCACCACATCCCTGGGTGTGAAGTCCCAGGACATTTAAAAAAATTTTTTTTAATTTTTATTTAAATTCAATTAATTAACATAGACTGTATTATTAGTTTCAGAGGTAGAGGTGAGTGATTCATCAGTCTTATATAATACCCAGGACTTTTTTTTTTAAAGGTTTATTTATTTATTTGAGAGGGAGGGGCAGAGGGAGAGGGAGAGAGAGAATCCCAAGCTGACTGTGCACTGAGCGTGGAGCCCAACGCGGGGCTTGATCCCGGGACCCTGAGATCATGACCTGAGCCGAAATCAAGAGTCAGACACTTGACTGACTGAGCCGCCCAGGCGCCCTGTCCCGGGAAGTTTTGACATGTAGGTTAGACCAGAGACAGAATTTCTTCTTTCGGGAGGGAGGGACACTAGGTGAGGGTTCATGGGCATAACTGCACCCTTGAACCTGAGTCCTTCCTGGCCTCTCCTCTATAGGTGCCTGGCTGTAACAAATCATGCAATGAGCCATGCCCCGCCCTGGACACCGCCGCCCATCATCTGGGCCCCCACGCTTGGGACCCTGGGAGCGGCCAACAGAACTATGCCTGGAGACTTTTGATGAGCCATCCCAACCCCCACCAAGCCGCCGCACCCGCAGGCCAGACCCCAAGGACCCTGGCCACCATGGGCCCGAGAGCCTTACCTTCATCTCTGGCTCTGCTGAGCCTGCTGCCGAGCCCCCAGCCTGTTGCCTGCTCTGGCGACCCTGGGTGTGGGACTGGTGCCGGGCTGCCTTCTGCTTCCGCCGCTGCCAGAGTTGCCTCCAGCGTTGTGGGGCTTGCATGCGGGGCTGCAGCCCCTGCTTGTCTGCTGCGGACTCCCCTGAGGGGGCTGCTGAAGCCAACTGGGCCAAAGAACACAATGGAGTGCCCCCCAGCCCCGACCGTGCACCTCCCAGTCGGCGGGATGGCCAACGGCTCAAGTCAACCATGGGTAGCAGTTTCAGCTACCCTGACGTCAAGCTCAAAGGCATCCCTGTGTATCCCTACCGCAGCGCCACCTCCCCAGCCCCTGATGCGGACTCCTGCTACAAGGAGCCACTGGCTGAACCCCCACCCATGCGGCACAGCCTGCCCAGCACCCTTGCCAGCAGCCCCCGTGGCTCCGAAGAATATTACTCCTTCCATGAGTCGGACCTGGACCTGCCCGAGATAGGAAGCGGCTCCATGTCCAGCCGAGAGATTGATGTGCTCATCTTCAAGAAGCTGACAGAGCTGTTCAGCGTACACCAGATTGACGAGCTGGCCAAGTGCACATCAGACACTGTGTTCCTGGAGAAGACCAGTAAGATCTCGGACCTTATCAGCAGCATCACCCAGGACTACCACCTGGATGAGCAGGATGCTGAGGGCCGCCTGGTTCGCGGCATCATTCGCATCAGTACCCGCAAGAGCCGAGCCCGCCCGCAGACCGCAGAGGGGCGCTCCACGCGGGGTGCGGCCCCTGCTGCTGCCCCTGACAGTGGCCACGAGACCATGGTGGGCTCAGGGCTCAGCCAGGATGGTAGGTGGGGCTCCACATGGTTGAAGGGCGGAGTGAAGGAGGCTCTGGCCAAGGGAGGGCTGCACTGGGTCTGTGGCCACTGTGGGTCCACCCCTCAGCCAGTCCCTGCTCTCCTTTGTCCTTTTCCTCCCTGTTCTCGACTCCTCTGTGTCCGCTAAGAGGACCCTCTGTCCCCCGCTACCACCTGCCAGAGCTTGCAGGCCTAGCCTGGTTAATATAACGAAATCCCATATGAATCTGGACCTCGGCCCTGGCCTAACCAAATCCTCCACCCAGCCCACCACTGCACACACACGCACAAACACACACATGCACGCACGCACACGCATGCGCACACGCAAGTTGTCTGTGTCTTTGTTTTAAACACTGTTTCTCAAGCCTGGCCCAGGTAGGTGACCCCTCCCTCATCAGGCTGGGAGCTGAAGGGGGGGTAGGGTTAAAAGGATGTGATAATGACCACTGCCCCCTCCTGTTCCCTCCCTAGAACTCACAGTGCAGATCTCCCAGGAGACCACTGCAGATGCCATCGCCAGGAAGCTGAGGCCTTATGGAGCCCCAGGTTTGGTCCTGACCTGATGAGTACAGAGAGAGGGGACCGCCCTCAGCCCCCTCCCTCGCCATGCCCCTCTCCCAGTTTCCTCTGGGGTGGGTGAGGCTGGGGTCAGAAAGGGACCAGAAGCCTGAGCAGCCACAGACCCCATCCTAATCCTGCAAGCTGGCTTAAAGGGTTCGCTTAGGAGACATTCAGGGAGCTGCCCCTGAACCAGAACGGGGCAGGTGCTCCGAAGTTGCATCTAAGCCCCCCGCGTCACTGGAGAGGACAGTGAAGGGCGGAGGCCATCCACTAGTGCTGAAAAGGCACCCGTGTGCATTCTGCTGCCTTCTTAGGTCTTCCTAAGCTCCCAGGAGTGGGGTCACTACCCTTTAACAGACAGCAAGCCTGGGGCTCAGAGACGTCAAGAAGCTGAGTGGGTCATCTGGCCAGGATCAGACTGAGATCAGACTGACCCAGGCTTGAGTCCCACTCTGCTTGTTCTCAGCAGGCTTCTCCCTGCCCACAGTCCCTGGATGAGCTCCTTCCCCTCTCTGAGCCTGCTTCCTCTTCCCTTCTCCTCAGGATACCCAGCCAGCCACGATTCATCCTTCCAGGGCACAGACACAGACTCGTCGGGAGCGCCGCTGCTCCAGGTGTACTGCTAACCCCGACCGGCCCAGTACAGCCCACAGCTGAAGAGGGGAAGCAGGACCCCCTTTGGAGGAGGCTGGGCCACGCTGGCTCCTCCCACCTCGGCTGACTGGTTCCTGGACCATGTGCATTTCACTGGGCCATGGTGTCCGCATCACCCTGGATCCCTTGCTGGCCTGACCCCTGCCTGGGCCTGTTCCTGCCTGCCTGCAGTCTTCAGGCAGCCTGGATCATGGAAAGCAAAGACTTAGGAGTTACCTTCTGGGATTGAATCCCGGCTCTACCCCCATAAAATACACCCCATAACCAGTCATGCAAACCCCTCCCTCCACAGGATGAGGGTGGGGGCAGAGGGTGACAGCTCAGAGCAGCTTATCTTAAATGGATTGGGTTGGGGGGGGGGGGCAGGCAGGGCCTCTGTCTTGAATTCTGTGGGCAGTGCCCACTCCACCTTATGTTCTGTTGGTTCTTGGCTGATGTTCTATATCCTAACATGACCATAGTTGCAAGTGCAAAGATAGATGACTGCCTGGTCATCTCGGCTGTGATACTGCCCTTTCTGTCCAATCTGCTTGACCGATACACAGAGCAGGAGACAGGATAGAGCACTCAGCCTGCCTTAGTGTTGTGGGGTCAAGGTCAGAAGGCTAAAATGAGAGCAAGAATGTCCACCTCTCAGGTTTGCTGTGAGTTCCAGACAGAGAGCCAGTTTCTGTAGTTTCTGTACCTGAGAAAGGTCTGACAAGTGGTTTCTGTCATTGTTGAGAGGTTCTAGGCAGGCCTACCCAGACTCCTCCTGCTGCCCCAGTTCACCACCTGCAGGCTGGCCTGCTGCTGGCCATCCCTGCAGTTTCCCCAAGTCCTTAAGCATGGGTCAGCCCCCACCCAGCCTCAGACTTGAGGCTCCCTCCACCTCTCCCTGGTTCTGACAGAGCACTGTGGTCTACTGGGACCTTCTTGACCTTCTCAACAACCCTGGAGTGGGGTCATTCTTTCATGGACTAGGAGGCTGGGGGCTCAGAGGGGTCAAGGAGCTTGTCACACAGCTAGTAACTGGCTCTGGACCTAGAAGCTGGCCTCTTGGCAGTTCTGCCCCAAAGCTGGCAAGCTCACCTGCTTGGGGCAGAAGCAGGGTCCCCTTGTTTGGACACAAGCCCAACTGGGTTCAGAAAGATCCTACTTAGCTACTCCTCACAGACAGGAGTGTCTCGTTAGTCCTCTCTCAGCAGTGAGGACAGAGCAGGCCCACCAGCCCACTCTTGACTAAACAAATTAGGTGTCCAGGATCCCCACGCCCTCACCTATAAGCCCCCACGCCTCACCTTTTTATTGTCCCCACAGGCCCTTTTGGCAAGTGACCACCAGACAAACTACTCATCCAGCTCCCTATCAGACACACAGTACGGTCCCCTTGGGGGCTGTGACCACAAGGCCCAGTACCAGTGACAAAACCGGCCCCTTCCCTTCAGCTCTGCTATCTCACCCACATCAAAGCCTCGCCAAGACTGAGAATGTCCATGGTGAGAAACTGTCTTAAGATGAAAATGGAATCAAGTCCAGCTGGTCTTAAATTCTGCTGAGTCATGGGCCCCTTTAAGAATCTGACATATATTCTGGTCCCTGTAACCAGAAAAAACTCACCTTTGCTCAGTCACACACAGACTAAAAACCTTGTTTTAATTCTCCCTTCAAGTAATGAAAAATAGCTTTACACTGAAAAACAGTGTAAGGACTCACTCTGGGTCACATGACAGAATCTGGGCTAGAAGCCAAGCCTCCAGCAGCAGCAGTAAGAGAGGCCTGTCCCCCAGGGAAAGGCCAGAGGGAAGAGAAGACACAGGTGGAGTAAATAGTTTTAATGTGTAACAGTAGGCCAACCGGGGAAGATAAGACACCCCCCACAAGGCCCCAGCCCTTCTCCCATGATGCCCTGGGACCAGTGTGCCTGAGCCAGTCCCGTGCCTGCCCCAGCCCTGAGGCCCCCAAGTCCCAGGGGAGGGTAGGAAAAGAAGGTGGATGGCTGGGGGCTCAGCCCCAAGAGTTCAGGGAGGCAAACACAGGGCCTAGTTGAATTTGGCCTTGGAAAAATCCATCTCAGGATGCTGATCCATGAACCTGGGGAGGGAAAGTAGGAAGAAGGTAAAACAGGCCGTCCCCTTCCGCAAAGTTAGCCCCTTTCTCCCAGCCCCCCAACATCAGGTCTAATTTCTTTAGAACCCTGAGCAACTTGGAGCCAGGCCAGGCAGTGGTAGGGCCTCAGGGTCTTCCTGTAGGAGGCAATGACTGCTTGTGTTATCCCTTCCTACCCCGAGGTGCCTTTGCCCTCAAGATGACCTTGGAAAGTGATTAAGGTAGGCAAGCTGAAGCTATAAATCCATAAACTTGGCTGGCTCATCCCGGAAGGGGCAAGGCAGCTCCTGTGTCCTCAGTGACCCACTCACTGCTGTCACCCAGGTCCAGGCCCAACACCCACCTTCCCCAACCCCCCCCCCCCCCCAATCTCTGCATTACTCACTTCTTCAGAATCTCCTGCTTTTTCTGCTCATCCGAGGTGGGCAGCCCCATGGACTTCTGCCTCTGGTCGTACATCATCTTTTCCACCATGCTGCGGGTCTCACTGTCCAGGTCTGACAGCTAAGGGCAGGCGGTAACGAGAATAGGTGAATTCTGGAGCCAACTATGCCCTCATCTCCCAGCTGAAGCCCCCCTACAACCAGCCAGGGCTCACCTTGGAGTTCTCAGGGTTGATCTTCTTGGTATTGATTTCAGGGTCACTGGACACCAAGCGGCTCCACCACTCCATCTTGTTGATCTGTGAGGAAGGGAACCACCAGGGGCTGGGAAGTAGCTCCCTCTGTGCCCTAGGATCCACCCCTCACCCTTTCCAGAACCCAACTCACTCCCATCCACATCCTGTGCGGGGACCTAGGGTGCAGATGGGCAAGGCCTCTGCCCTCCCCAGTGACTGGGGAAAACGGATGAGACCGTTACAAATCAGCATCATCGGGGCAAAAATAAAACACAGAGGGAGCTATTCATCCAGGGTGGAGTGCGAGAAGTTAAGAGTGGCACCTGGGCTGGGCCTGAGGGACACACAGTACACCTGATGAAAAAGCAAGACAGGGATTTCAGCTGGGAGGAGGAGCAAGTACAAGGGCAGAGGTGAGGGAGAGGCAGGTAGGCTAGGACAGGCCTTAGGTGCCAGGGGAAGCCTTCCTTGGACCCATGGCACTTAAGAGAGAGACTTCTTTACATTACATGCATTGCCCCGTCTCTCTGAGGGAATGAACAGAGGCTTTCTGAGGGCAACTCTCTACATTTTGTCCATTGCCTTCTCACCAGTACTTAGAACACCCTCTGGCATGTAGCAGGTATCCCCGTATCTGCTGAACTGAAAGCATGTACAAACCACAGGAAGATGCTTCAGTACCAAAGACCTTCCATCTTAATTCCATCCCTACCTAGAAGGAGGAGCCTGGTAAATCTCTTAAGTTGCCCTTTTCCTGACTCTAAAATGGGACAGACCTACATTAAAAATCTGGTGCAGATTAAGCACGTCCGCTAGACCCCTGGCAATGGTCCCCGAGTGAATGAGCAGACACCTCCCTCCTTTCTCCATCAAGACGCAGGCCAGAAGGCCGCGGTGCTCACACCTTCTCCAGATGCACTGTCACCACCTTGCCGTCCTCGATGAGCCACGAGCTCTCCTCCACCTTCACCTCGTTGTAGAGCTCCCCGTCAATGACTGCCGGTTGCCCCTTGAGCCCCACCCGGAGGTGCCGCCGATGGATGTCCACCACCACATCCTTCCCCTTCAGCCGGAAGTTCACACGGAAGGGCAATGCCAGCTGCATGGGGCAGGAGAAGTCAGAGGGAGCCCCAGGCTGGCTCCCTAACCTCCTAACCCTAGCCCCGGCCACTTACGTCCAGCTCTGACAAGGTCTGGGTCCAGCGGTAATTGGGCAAGTCGGCCCCGTTGCCAAGGTTGGGCTTCAGTTTCCCTTTGTCTTTCTCGTCCTCCTCCTCCTCCTCGTCCTCCTCAGCCTCCTGCTCACAGTTAGGGTGCTCAGCTACTTACCTGACAGGCACAGACTGCACCCCACTGAGCCGGGCCCAGGGCTGGCACTGGGCATACAGCCGCAAGATGAAACAGACCCAGTCCCTGCCCGCTCCATGGCCCCCTGGGAGCCACAGGTTAAAAAAATGGTTCTGATCTCTGCCTGAGAGGAGCAGCATACCATGTGACAAAGGACACAGCTGGGGAACAGTGACAGTCAGAGATGGACCCACAGAACCTAGCTGGGGATCCAAGCCAAGGGACTTGGAAAGAAAGTCCAGCACAGAACAGAAGGTCACAAGGTAGCCATGCGCATGGTTGTTCTACAATAAAACCAGACTGCCAACGATCAATTTTCTTCTTCTGTGTCTGTAGGGCTGAGACCCCTAGTGTCAGACCAGAAACTCTGGAAAGCCAAACGAATGTCCCAAGGATTGTTTGGGAAGCTGGATTTGAGTCAGAGGGAGGAGCCCTGAGGGGCACATCCCCCAGATGTGTCAGAGTAGCCCAACACACAGGGCCAGGCTGGGCCCATAGACCCTGGCCCACCTGAATGACACCTAGCCAGGCACTGCCCTCTCTGGCTCTTGGGCTTTCCTACCAAGGCTTTAAGGCCAGCGGGTGGTTTTTTTAAAACCTGATCCTGTTGTCCGATGTCTATGAGTGGGATCTTGAACTTTGGGGAGGATCCCCACAGCTAAGGGAGAGGGCAGAGGGGGAGGCACTCTAGAGACAGACAAAGGCTAGAAGGTCCCTGGAAGTTCTCAAGCCCTGACTAGTCTCAGGCACCCCCAGTCCATCTCACCTGCTTCCCCGGTGAGCCAAGGCTGCCATTCTTGAGCTGGGCCTCATGATTCTCTGCATCTTTTTTCTGTGGCAAAGGGCACAGCAGTCGGCAAGAGCATCCTCGCTGCCAGTGCCAACAGGGATGGGGATTGGGGTGGGCGAGCCCGCTCTTACCTGGTCAATCTCCAGCTGCAGCCTCTCTGCCTCCTCATCAGTCAGCTCCTTGATCTGGGGCCCAGAGGTCTCGGACTTGGCCTCCTCGGCCAGCCGGGCTGCCCGCTCCGCCCTCTCCCGCCGC